AGGTTTTGTAGAAATTGTGCACACTAGAGGAGCTCTGTTTATAGACTCTACGGTGAGCAACAGATTCGGTCGGCAGTGACTCATAACTTGCTGTTTGTTTTTCCACATTGTTTGTAAAGAAATGAGGCGTCAGTGATTGACTAAGCTGATCTGATGTCATGAGGGGCAATTATGACATTTTCCCACTTTTCTTCTTTCACTAAATTGGCGGAGTGCAGATTTCATCCATTCTTTTTGTCAGTCTCCTTTGTTATTCCATTACCAGCCCATCCCTGTCTGTCCGAATGTGATCTGTGTCCTTGGATTATGTTTTACATGAATCATAGGGGCATTCGATAAAAGACGGAAGCTGGATATGTTGTGTTTACCTGCAGTATAGTGTCAAGTATTAAATCATACCGTGTAACAAGAGACGCAGCGAATGAGAGAAAATGACAGCGTCTGACAGAAGACGAAATCAAAAGTGCCAACCTCCTCTGTTTGTGTCATTTTATCACACATATTTGACTTGGCTATGTGTTGTTTCTTAGGAAGATTTTTGTATGTATAAATATAAAGACAAATATATAAAAGAATGATATAAATATATATTTACATGGATTGCTCGGTGGGATCTATGCATGAAATATTTTAAAGCACCAAGAAGGACCCTGAGCTGTAAACTCCCACAGCTTATTTGCATTTTTTTAAGTTTGCTTGCTTAAAATGCCTACAATAGCCTTCTCCCCAGGGGTGTTTTCATCAGCATTAGCAAATGTAACATCCTCCTCAGTCTGACCACTCTATAGGACGGTATCCTCCCACCGCATCCAGAAAGAGAGCTATTGGCAATATTCTTTCAAATGATTTTTAACATTCATATGCAGTTGTTGGTGCTATTATTTGACCATCAACCATGTAGTGGCTCTACCAGAGCTATCTGTGATGGTCCGGACAGTTGCATAAATACAGCAAATAGCAAATGCACATGTAGCTTTGCATCTCTTTCACGGGCCTCTGCCCATTATTTAGCTTTTATTCGCATTATTTTTCGATCCAGTTGATGCTCTTACACCTCAGCCCATCTTTCTCTCTCTGTGGCCTCTCTAGTTCTATCTCTGTCCTTGCTCTTTCAGTTAAGCCAAGTTTAATAAGCATCTTTTTTGTGTATTTGTGCGTGGGCACAAATAAAGAGTGTGTTTTCTAGGCAATAGCTAGGTGTCCTGTACATTTGTGTTAATTTGAATGTGTGAGGGAAGAGAATATGTGACAGAGAGGCACAACAAGAGAGAGAAAAGTAGACTTCTGAGTTAGTTCAATTCTCATAACACAAAATTTGCAGATTCCTTCATCTGTGGCCCTCTGTCATTCCTTCAGAAAAACATACCTGGCTTTGGGCCATTTTACATACAAAATAGTTGTATGTTGTGCTAAAAAAGGAAAAGGCTGGAAGCACCTCATAATATCAGTTTGACCAACATCTCTACATATCTCACATCTATCTGCACCACACACCTGACCTTTTTGGTTATGACAAGCACAGCAAATAGTGGTTGCAGAAAACCAGATCTATATGTAGACAAATCTTACACATTGTTTCTCCAGAATACATGTTCAGGTTAAAGAACAAATGGCGCAGAATCACTGGACAGTAACTGTGGAATTAACACAATCACTTATGTTCTGTTCATGCCTTGTTAGTCATATTTTTCTACCACTGCTGTGTGTCACGGGAGGACGACCGTTTGAGTCAGGAAATGTCTCACTGTTGGCTCAGATTGCCAGTGTATTGAGTCTGAGATACCCAGGACCATCATGATGGAGCAAGAACCAATGCCAGTATGCTGCTCAATGTACTAAAACATGAACAGGCTTTACAAGCATTGCTGAGCAAACATACTGGAGGTTCAGTATGCCATGAAAACAGAACTTTATTCTGCGGTGTGGACTGAAAACAACAACAACTGGACAATAAACACACTTCAGTTGCAGATACATTCTGGAGATCCGAGAGTGTAGGTTGGACCTGTGGATATGTACCATCTGTGGACTTTTGTGTGGTTGTAGGTATAACTGAACTCCGTTTTAAACAAACTATAAGGAGTTGACTAGAGCTACGTACAAAACAACCTCAGTTCTAATAATCAATACTGTTTTAAGAGATGAGTTCAGACTCTTTTGTTATTTCTCTTGTTTGTTTTTGTACGCTCAACCACTAGAGTGTGATGTTGTGGTACATGCAGAATAAAGACTCTACATCCATTACGAGCCATTCATTGGGTATTCAGTTAGGCGTACAGTGAGAGAAGGATAAATAGAAATTAACTGTACATTTTTAAGTGAAAGAACAAATCAACTGAAAATATTTGTAAATATTCAATTACTTGTTTAATGTTTTGTTTTTTTCTGGTCTAATGAAATCTGAAATACTTTGTGACCAGGACAACAGGTGCAAGTTCTAATTCAGCCACCAGCAAAATTGATGAATCTCATTTGTTAAATTCACTTTCTGTTGCTTCATTTAGTTTTGAGATCTGTGGATGGAGATGATGTATTGCTCTTATATTTGAGCATAAAGAGATTGTGTATTATGTAGCATAACAATATTACTTGAATCATCAGCTAGTCATATTTCTGCACAAGTATGATTAGCTGGTCGTTTTAGATACAAAATCTGCCAGTTTACAAAAATCTTTAATATGGAGATGGACTGGAATGTCCAGTTTATTTAAGCAAAGGAAGCACTGGAAACCATGGAGGTTATGAGAAGTCTTTCATCTACCATGAACTTGTAGCATTGAATTCTTACCAAAAGGTGGTAGAGATTAACATCTAAAATAGGGGGAAAGTATTGTTTTATGGTCACATTTGTACACTTAAGTATACATTTTATTATTTTTGAATGAATTAAGCATCTAGCGAAATAATGCCAAATTAAAGATGGCATAAAGAGCGCGCAAGGATCTCAATATGTCAAGTCTGATGGTTTAAAGAAAACTGAATAAATTAAGCACATGTTGTTCCACTAAGAAAAAAAAAACACTTTTTACTGGGTCCTAAAGCAAATTTACACCTGTTGCCCTGTTTTACTATACATGTTCAGAATCAGAACGCCACACTTGATGAAAAATAAACATAATAATGGATTTTTTAAAAAGTAAAGTAAAAATATATAATTAAGGTGATGATATTTCTCTTTATTTAGAAGTTATTACACACTGTATGCTGTGACTCTGGGGAACATTAAAGAAATTCATAGCCAGACATCAGACTCTGTTTCCTTTTAATCAAACTGCTATACCTGAAGTGTATTTCCCAACAATAACTTTGATGGAAATGTCCTCTTTGACCAACAAGCATTACTGTAAATATTAGTCTTGTTTTCATTAACAGAATTGTCAACACTATCAGGAGATCAACATGTTCTATCCATCACTGGTGATTCACTTGTGTGCAAATAAGAAGCAAGGTTATTAGGAAAACGTTATTATAATAATCATTAAAGAAATTCATAGCTAGACATTAAAGGGGTCATATGATGCAATTTCAATTTTTCCTTTCTCTTTGGACTGTTACAAGCTCTTGGTGCATAAAGAAGATCTGTAAAGTTGCAAAGTCTAAAGTCTCAAATCCAAAGAGATATTCTTTATAAAAGTTAAGAGTCAGCCACGCCTACCTAAAACGGCTCGTTTTAACACGCCCCCACATACCTACGTCGCTCTGTGGGAAGATTTGCATAACGCCGCCCAAATGTTCACGCAAAGAAAGAAGGCGTAACTTTTATTCTCGCTGTAGTTTTGTTGTTTCCGCTGCCATGTCGTAAAGAAGCTGTGTGCTTCGTTGTAAAAGCGAAACTACTTTGTTTGGCCTTCCAGAAGAGGACGATATCTGCTTCGTCATGCCTAGAGCTGATCCGTGCTGGTCGCTGAGGGAATACATCAACTTTGCGCTGTCGATCGCCGGATCGGCTTTCACCGTCGAAGAAGCGGAACACAAAATACTGTTCTTTTTAGCAACATCATATGACCCCTTTAAACTGTTTATTGAGTTAAACTATTTATGTAGTCCACAGATTCTGAACAAAAATGTTTATTTTAGAGATTTGAAAAAAATCTTATACTAGGCCATTAAACAAAATATCATGTAATTTACTAGAAGTTCTGACATGTTCTTTGTTTCAGTCTATTTAAAGTCTATTTAAAATCCAAAATGAATCAGTGTTTTTGAACAGTTTGATATGAATGAATGATTCAGTCTCATCTCGTCTAAAAACTATATGCTTCCCTGAACATTCAAAGTACACCAGTGTGACCGTAAGCTACATAACCTGGGTTGCCGTAAAGGAGGGGAGGTTATGACGATTCCAAGGGCCCTATGAGGGAGAGGGGGCCTGGAATGCGCTTTTTACAGAGGGGGTCAGAGTCAATATGCTGTTCAGGGAGCCCAGAAACCATAGCGACGCCCCTGTATATAACAAAGGGTTAATACACTCTAAAAAATGCTGGGTTAAAAAGGGACAAACCCAGCTATTGGGTTGTTTTGACCCCAACATAACCCAGCATTTTTTAGAGTGTAGACATACCGTAGCTGAATCATTGTCATTTAGGAATCAGAAGTCATAGGTGTTTGGATTGAGATCAGGATCTTTTAACAAATAATTGTGCAGTTCAGTACATAGGATAACACATAAAACATTTGCATTTATTTATTTAGCAACCACCTAATTCCAAGGCACAGGTTTGTTTAATTGGTTACATCAAGTATTCAAAAACGGCAATAAATTAATACCAATACATACATATTTAAAACAATATTTTTTTATGGTTTAGAATTCTGCTTCCAAGAATCACAAAGGTATTAATCAAGTATATATTTTCTGTAGTATATAATTATAAAGAAATACATTTGATTAAAGTTGATTATTCTGACAAAAAAAAAAAAAAGGAAAAGAAGAACATATTTTCACCAAATAACAAACTTGCAAAAAATGACAACTAACCTATAAAACATTTCACCATTGTACTATATTTTGCATGATATTTTCTTTCACGTAGTTAAACTGTCTTTCACATTGATATGATTAACTCATATTCATTACCAATTCCTATATGCAAGTATTATTGTTGGTTATACAGCTGAAACCATTTGGAAGTAATCAACGGCATTTTTCAATCAATGTGAGAGTGCAGCCAAATCACTGAATCTATGGTTGTGATAGAAAATAATTGTTTATTTGATGCTGAAAGACTCTTTTAAACTGTTCTCTGCTTGCTGCTTTGTGATGGATTTCCAGGTTAAGGGTATGTCAGCAGGACGAGCATTGTATACTTCAGCAAACGTAGTGTTGAACCGGGCCATCACGTATTTCCAGTAATCTGAGGCCTGTATGCTAGCATCAGCTGGGATGTGCCAGTCAGGAAAGATTTCTCTGTATCTTTTGTAAGGATGAGGATTATAGTTAGTCTGGAAACACTTAAAATTTACTTCACTGTGGACATCTGTTGAGCAGATACTAGTCACTAATTTTTCATTGTTTTCATATCTATATCTGCCAAGTCCCTGAGGTCTGTGAACTGAAGCACAGTGATCAGTGTGGGCTTCTCCACCAGCCTCACAAGGAGCACTGCAGAATGGACACAGTTGCCCACATCCAAACACACGCTTGAAGAGCTCATCCTGGGGTTTCATTTTGAGCATGCAGAGTTTACCCTGTATGTCGACTTTCTTCAGTTGTTCCATCATTGTGTGTTCCATCTCCTCTACAGATTTGGTTAGCCAGCATGCAAATGGCTCTTGAGAAGCATTGTTTAAGACCATTACTGTTTCAAGAGCATCTTTGGGAATTATTAGCTTTTGTCCAAGCTTCCTGCATATGCAATGTATGAATCCTTTGATGCCATCTTCATTTGTTTCATTCTGTGCCATTTTGACAGCTTCTAGTATCTCCTTGGTGATTCCTCTAAGGTGGCGCTCCTCCAACTCAGACACTTCATGGTGATTCGAAAACTGTTTGGTGATTTGATCTAATATCCAGCCCTTAACAAAACCTTCATAAGAGCTAATGTATTTCACATACTGTTCAAACTTATCTTCATTCACAAGTTGCTTTAAGAGTGAGTACTGGAAAAATGCACGAGTGCTGAATTGAAATGCATTTTTTCCCTGAAGCATTTTGTCAACGATGTCTGGGCCCAGGGATCTGTAGATGAATGTCTCAACTGCAGGAATCAAGCACAGTGTGGTGAATTCTTCAGCCTTTCTCTGACACTGATCGCGATCATGGAACAGGTCCTTGAAATCATCACGATATTTGTCTTTATACTGATCAAGGCATCTACGTGGGTCATTCTCCTTGATGAAACAGTCATGCATGTCTTGAAATGCTCTTGCAGAAAACCCACAAATGTACAATTTCAAGGACAGTTCAAATTCAACTGAAAACCCCATTTTCTTGTTGGACTTCAATCTGTTATCAGTTATGTGTAGGATCTCCTGGATGTAAGCATCATGGTAATCCGAAGTCTTGTCCAAAACTAACTGAGAGCATGTCTGAATGATATTATCTGCCAAATCCTGTAGTTTCATTGCAGAATTGTCATTCATTATGCGTTTAAACAACCTTTTGAGAAAGATTTCATTGGTGGCTTTGAACACCCCTGTTCCATAATTCATCAGATTCACTGTAATTAATTGTTCAGTAACAGAACTCCCTCTCTGTTTCATGTTTTCTCGAAGTTGCCTGAAAACAGAATCAAATATATTTCTTTGCTTCAATCCAGTAAACGACAGCTCATTTATGGTTTTTTGCCATATTTGTTCAAAAAAACTGTCAAGCTGCTTGTCAGTTATATGGGCATCACTCTTTGAGCTGTTGTTTTTGCGTAACTCCTCCAGTAGGCCCAGCACTTTTTTCTCCATTGTATCAGTGAATGTTTTCTTGATGTTATCCAGATTGTTCATTCCTCTCCTAATGTCCACTGTTGCCTCAAGCTGTGTCAGCAATGAGCTCTCGGTTTCCCTCCTGAGAGATTTTACACTGCTCACAAAGTCTTCTTTGTACTTTTCCACAAGATAGACATGGCCCTCTGTTTGTTCAAAGTATTTGGAAAGGTTTTCCATTGTGATCTTTTCCAAGGTGTCAAGCTTTGTGACAGCTTGTTGTTTCAGTTTGCATAAAAGATCTTTCAGATCTGACTTGTCTGATTTCAGTTTGACTGTCTCAAAATTTGACACTCTGGTTTCAGCTACTGTTAACCAAGAGTGCATATGCTTCTTGAAAGACCATTCCCATTTATGAAATTCTGTGCACAGTCTCATGTATGCATCAGCCACCAAGCTATTCCTGAAGCTAAATATGAAATTTTCATATTTGACTGCATTCCACAAGCTTTTTGTCCACTCCAAAAAATCTGTTATGTTGTTTCCAGACGTTTTATGTTTGCATTTTCCAATTACATCAATCATGTTTTTTTTAAGGTCATAGATAGCCTCAGAGTAGCCAGCGTTTACTGGTGCCATTGGAGGATTTCCATGCCACAGTCCAGGAATATACCAATTGCAAGTCTCCGGATCATACTCCATCACATCAGTAAACATTTTATACTCCTCCTTGTTCTCCATTTTAGCTGCAGCCTCTGTCATCTCATTCAGTTGCTCCAGCAGCAGCTTTCGATCTCTCATGTTCTTGTCATGGGCTGATACATCAGCAACATTTTGGTGGACAAATTGGCAACTGGGTTTTTTCCCTATTTCCTTCATTCTGAGGAAAGCATGGACCACAATCTGCAAAATGTCCTTCATCTCTGTGGAATTCTCCATTGCGATGTTGATGATTGTAATGTCACTCAATCCAACAACAAGTGTGGCTAATTCATTGTCATGTTCATGGCTATCATCTAGTTTTGCCAGCTCTGGGGATTTCAGACCTTCAGTGTCAATTATCACTAAATAATCACAGCCAAGTTCTTTCTTGACGTCCTCTTTGACTTTGATCAGCTGCATAAAAGCTCCTCTGGTGCATCTTCCACTGCTGACTGCAAACTGAACTCCAAACATGGTGTTCAGCAAGGTGGACTTCCCTGTGCTCTGAACTCCCAAAACTGTGACCACCATGATTTTATTATTTGGCTGCACCAAAGAGTTCAAATACAGAAGCACATCACTAACCCATCTGAGAGGAATATTTGATGCATCTCCATCAACCAGTTCCAGAGGGAAGCCATCCAACATCAGCTCAGCACATAGCCGGGGTAAGTGTAGCATTTGTTGACGAGATTGTAAGTTTTCTGGAAGCGATACCGCAGCTTCATAGAGTTGGCCCATTTCACGCAGGAAGTGCTCTATTCCTAAAGAACTGTTTGAGATCTGTTGGTCAAGCTGTGCAATTTCCTCTTTGTTTTCTGAAAATTGCTGACACTTTTCTTTGTACTGTTCTCTGAGGCTAGAGAGGCTTTTTCGGGAGAGATTGTCAAGGTTCATCCGCATCCACTTCAAGAAGTAGGACCTCTCCTGGTTTGAGCTTGATAATGCACTAACAAAACAGGACATGGCCTCTGAGATATCATATTTACTCTGCTGTTTCCTGAGTTCAGTCTTTTTAATCTGGAGATCACTCTTGTATGTCTCTATGTTTTGATCACCAGCTTTCCGGAGTCTGCATTCCTCTTTTTCCAGTTTTGCCAAATCTTTCCATATTTTACCCTGAAGGGGAAGCTGATTCTCTTTGAACTGCAGTGTGTCTTGTATACTTTTCGTCAAGACATGCGCATTATTTTTTGCTCTCTGACATTCCTGGATGTTTTCGTCAACTAAAATTCCGAGTTCATGTGCTATAGTGTCCATTCCCTCCAGACGTGCTTTGTTGGAATGATTTGTAATTATGTGATTTACTGAAGAATGCAGATTTTTAACAAAATTTGCATCATTTTGATTGGTCTTCAGAATCACATTGTTTTTCTTCAAACCCATTTCAAAAGCTGTCCTTTTCAGCTGCTCCAAATCAAATGCTTTGTTTTGTACATTGCCCACTAAAAAAAACTGTGCTTTAGCATGTTGGTTGGTGAGTAACTTGTAGTTTGTGTCCAGATTGTCAAAAAACACGAAAACTGCAGTGGAGGTCTGGCATAAGAAGGAGTACTGTGTTTCAAAGGTCGTGATGTTGCCTCTCAAGTTTGCAACAGCCACCGGTTCAGGAAAAACATCAATGTTTTTGTTTCCACAAGGCAGATACCAACTCATCTCCACTAATCCATTTGATATCTTTCTTGGAATGTCTCCACAATCCATATCACAATGTACAAAAGTGTCATGATACTGTTGGGGGTTGCTGAGCAATTTGTTTAAGATCTGAGATTTAGAAATGCTGCAATCACCAAGTCTAACAAAAGACACTAGAGGGAGCTCAGAGTGAACAATTCTCTCCTCCACAAAGCCTCTTGGGTCTGACAAGGAATGAGGTCTACATTTTTTCACAATATCTCTCATGGCCCAAAGCATTAACATGCACTGGTGAGTGTCACAGTTTGGAAGAAGCAAAGGAACAGAGAACTGACACATTGACATTTTTGAGACCATTTCCTGTTGGAGGAAACCATCTGAACAAAGGAAAAGGGCGGACACTATGTCTAAAGGGTTCACACTGCTGTTCTGATCATTCAGAAAATCAAATGTTTCATTGTATAAATCTAAGCTTGACAAATCCTCACTCTCATCGAATGAATATTTTACACTTCTTGCAGTCACATTCACCATCATCAGTTTCTTCAGGAACAGCCATGGTAAAGATGACAGAGACTGGGCTGGCTCATCTGTCACTGACCTCTTCTCAATCTGTAGCACATCGCTGAGTGAGAGTTTGTTTGGGTAGTACTGCTCCAACCCCAAATCCTGTAAAAGGCTCTGGATGTTTGTTTCTGTTGAAAAAAAACAATTTGTTTCTGCTCAATTCACATTTTTTTAAATAAATGTTATCAAAGTCTATAAAATGAGACATATCAATGTTTGTAATAAAGTTTGCTATATTATACTAACTGGTTTGAGCATATGTGACTGCTTCTTTACTTCTGTTGCCATTTGGAAGCACTTTAATAATGTGAAAAGAGTACTTCTTTCCAGGACTTAGGTCACGGAAAGTCACAGTTCTTGAAATTGTTATCTCTTCCTGAAAGCTCCCTCCATTGTGGCTGCAAACAACATGAAACTTGTTCTCCTCACAGCCAGATGCATCCCAAATAAGAGAGACTGATGTGGTGCCCACACTCTCAACCTTGACGTTTTCTGGTGGTACTGGCCCTGCAATGAAAACAATAAAAATAATTGTTATTTCTATTTTAATCAATTTTAAAGACACACTGTAATGCAATTCTAAGTTTATACTGCATAGACAGACTGAAAGACAATTACTGGTGCACGCAGTCACTTTAACTCCCACACTGCATTCTCCATTGTCTGATACTGAAACAAGGTTGAAAGTGTACTCAGTCCCTGGACACAGATCTTCCACCTCTATGGTTGAGGCATTTGTGATAGTAGAGGTCTTTGTAGATGTGAGACTGTAGTAGGTCAACTCAAATGTAGATATGTTGTCTGGACTATCCCAAGCAAGAATAACAGAACTGGTACCAATAAGCTGCACTAAAATTTCATTTGGAGCAGGGATATCTGTGGAAAAAGTACTGATTGGTTTATCACAGTCAGATCACATCACATATCACATGTCATTCAACATCAACACAGATGTTTAAGAGATACAAACAGTTCTCTCTGCCTGTCAGATGCAAGGTTAGTGGTTTTCTTATTTGTAATAATATGCACTGATGCATTATGCACAATAAGACCAAAAATGTGATTGAAAGAAAACAGGGTTCATTTTGATTTCAGTCAGAAAGTATTAAAATGTCTTCTTCTTGGCATCAAGTCATCCAAATCCACATTTAAAACAAACTATAATAATGAAAAAAGTTGCTAACATTTGTATAAAGTAAACATTCATTTAAATTGTGGTAAACATCCCAATCTCAAAGATGCATAGGCAATATGCTCCTGATACAAGGGTAATTTTGTTACCTTGCAACTTGGAAACATCTTCCTTTTGATATGACTCAACAGCATGTGCTCCTGAAGTAAATGCTTGTTGTTCATCTTCAGGGTATTCACTAGCATCTGCAAATTCCTTAATTTGAAAGTTTTTAAAGTATTAGTGGCATGCAAACTCAGGTTTGCCAAGACTAAATTTGACTTAAAGAGTATTAAGTGTATGCAACTCTCAATGACTAGTCTAATACACATCATTTGCAAACAAATCTGCCTTGTGAAAGAAAGAGGAAAAGATGCTTACTTCCTCCTCACTGGGGCAGTCCATTCCAACTGCTTGTCAGTTGACTGAGACTAAAAGGAAACTGATTATATGAATTAGTAGACTATAAATCATTCAGTAATTGTTAAGTGATTAATGGTGGCTTCATTTATTTACATTAAATAATTTCACACTTTACTTTTCAAAGCTTTATTAAGGTAAATTTCCATTTGCAATGGACACGTCCATGCCCGTAGCCAGCTATGGCCCTGTCCCAAATGGAACATTTCATGTGCACTTGCGGTCTTATGGACTTACAATGGCCGCCACGTGTGCGTGTCCGTTAAGTCCACGAGAACATAGGGTGCCATTTGGGACAGGGCCTATGAGGTCACAAATTTTTCATGTTCAAAAATAAAATTTGTTCTCTAAATGACTAATCTGCTGTTTAAAGCTCCTCATATAAGTGTCTGCATGTATAATTAAGTTTAGACAGTTTGCAAGAATGTTTAGTGCCCGTGGTATGAAAATGATCGCTGCGAGACGCTGGCGGAGTGAACGAGGTTCGAGAGAGTTGTGAGTGAGGGCGCGGGCGTACAGTGTTGCCAGATCCAGTTATTATAAGCGTCTTTGGACTTGTCTTTTCTACTTAATTTGACACTTTAGAAAGTAAATAGAGCAGTTGCAATTTAAGGTTAGCAATATCTTTATCTTTGTCGCGTTCCCTAGTTTATAACGCGAGTAAAAAGCACACAAACACCCTTGGACTCCCAACTAGCATTGCATTTATTCTACTGACTCAACAATGCCCCCTCGTGGGCGGAAAAAGTATTCAGGAATCAAACCATGTAAAATATTGTCATGTAGTTTCACTACATAGATTATCCCACAATCTTATCTTATTTACAAAAGATTTGAACTAATTTTGGTTTATTTATTATTTATTATTCGGTTTTTATTTGTTTTCAAAGTAATATGGGTATTCTCAGAGACGTTGAGAAACACTCCCATAGGCTTCCATAGGAACTGAGGAATGCAGAAGTAAAGTTAACCAATAGTTCCAAACACTGATCTATAATAGAGAACTGGATTGCTCATGACGTCATAAAAGTGAAGCCGCCGAGCCGCCATATTGGTATTCCCTAGTATTCCCATAAATTCTATTGAATGAATAGGAAATTGTATGATTTTAATGAGAAAACATCACCTAACAAGTCAGCGTTTTTATATCTGAAGTATTCCTGTACATTCTTACAATGCAAACGTCCTGCATATAAGCGGTTAATTTGTTTAATGTTAGGAATTTCCCTTGCGTATTAAAAAGTTATGTTCATATACATTACAGTAGCGAATATCAGATAAACATGATGGACATCAGACGTTCAACATATGCATTACAAATGACAAAGTGCTCATTCTGAAATCTGAATAAAGATTTATGCTTTGTATACACATATACCTTAATTCGCCTTGTACAGTTATTTCACTGTTTATGTAATTTTGTTATAGTGTTTTTATTCATTTTATTATTTGACTGCAAATGTTTCAAAATGATTTCATTAACAGCATTCATTTTGAAGCAGATAATGATTTAAAAGTTAAATTAATTAATTAAATTAACGATTAATTCCACATATACTGCTAATAAAACTCCATAGAATTAGCGCAGTTTTGGAGAGTCTGAAATAGATGTTATTTCTATAGTAGACATTAAAAATATACACATAACTTATTCAGATAAATAACTCTGACTACATACGGTACGGACTTATACCAGATATATATATTCAATTTAATATTTCCTGCTTAATTGCGTACATAAATAGTCTATATTTTGTGTTGGTTCAGTTACCTGTGTCGGTAAGTGTGCAGCAGACACACCCACCTAAACGATTTCAATATCGCTTATCCTGCCCGAAAAGACCATAAACATTGCAGATCAAATCTGAAGTAACAATTAATTTACATACACGTATCATAAAAACTAATCCCGTGTGATTGATATGCTTCAAATTGGGGGATTTTAGATCAAGATTTTTGCTGTCAGTCAATGATGCTCTCTGCCGGTAGGGAATAGTAAGATGGCACTTCCGGTGGCTTCACAGCCGAATGGCAGTTTAGAATGCAATGAGCGATCCAGTCAAATATATAGATCAGTGGTTCCAAACAACCAATAGTTCCAGTACTGAATCCCATTCATTTCAGTGCTTCTCAAGCAACCTCGCCAGAAAGTTGAGGAAATTGCAGCAGTTTTTGGCATTTTAATGCATTAGTTTACCTCTCGGAAATCTGGCCAGTAGTTGTATTTTATGAAACGCGTTATAGTTAATGTTTAGTTTTAGATAATAGGCAGTTATGCTATATTTGCAGTTAGATAACGTGAGAAATGCCTTAATAGTGATCATAACCAGATGCTAGTTGTCATATTTTTAAGTTTTTAGTCTTTCTGCAATCTTTCTCTCCCTGTAAGAAGTTGAATGAGTTTCAGTGAAGACTGCCCATTAAAGGAATACAAGAATACAAGGCCTTTTTTTAACATGCACTTATATTGTCTTCTTACATAAATGTCATAACATAATACTGGGATGTGAGTAATCTTTTTTAATTCAACATTTAAAAAAAAAAAATGCAAAACTTATAAATATTGAGTGTTTGGTAATGACTAAATACACAATGCAAAACATAAAATAAATAAATAAGCTATTATGACCAGTGTTGGGGGTAACTCATTACAAGTAATGCGAGTTACGTAATCAGATTACTTTTTTCAAGTAACGGTAAAACCCTTTACAGTCAGCAACTAGAGTAGAGCAAAATATAGGCTATATTTATCAAACAGCCATACGGGCATCTAGTGGTTAAACCATGGCATTACATAGGAATATTATTTTTCTGGCCACCAAACGCCTCTAATTTGCTTCTTTGCACTGGAATTTAAAACCATTTTCTCTATTTTAGCCCTAAATACTACGCTAATTGTAACATAAATAATAAGCATATTAGAAAAAATATTAATGCTGTCTCTTCATCACTCCCCAGAATAAAATGTGATTGTAAAACGTAGTCAGCATAGTTACCAATACACAATCAATGCACATGATGTGTTAATAATCACTAGATATTGCTGCAAATATAGAGAAACTGCTGTCTATCCTACAAAAGTCGCTGCTAGTGTGAACGCAGCTTTAGGATGACAAAAAGTCTTAAAAGTTTTTAGGTTGGTCCGCCTCAGCCCTCGTAAATGATTGAGATAGCGAATCAAATCAGGCGGGCTTTACTCTTCACAGAAAACAGCTCACCAGAATGAGTGCGTATCGGAGCGCGTAAAGCACGACAACCAAGCAACGCCATGTTCGTGGGTTCGATTCCCAGAGATAAAAAACAACAACCACGTGTGATACGTTTGTATAGCACATAGACTGTAAATGTATATCACCACATGTTTATAGCGACTCAGTTGCCTCATGATGGGATAGTGAAGTCAGAAAAATAACAGCGTTCAACTGCGAAACACTGAAGAGACTAGCGTGCGCTCACTGGAGTCTTTCATTAGGCTTTTAACGCTTGTATAAGCCTAACAAACATGCAATCAACACTCTGAATGGTAGT